AAAAACAGCAAAGATTTATTTTACAAATATTTATACCTAAGTAGATATATAAATATCAAATAAACATTCACATTTACACCTTTTCAGTGAACAAGTACTTTTACAGTCTTGGGAATTTTGGCAGATAACAGGAACACTGCCCAAGTCCCCTGATGGGGGCCTGACAAGAACAGATGTGGGGGCCTTTGGCTGGGGGGTATAAAGTCTCTATTCTTCCTCTCTTGGCACTGCTAAGGACAGGATTATTGGAAAGATCTTTTCACCTAGGCAAGGCTGTGCTGAGCCATGTGGTTTAAACCAAAAGTGGTTTAATGTTCACAGTCTGGTCCCCGATCTTCATTTTGACGAGTAGCTCATGGGGGCCCAGTTAGACAAAGCCCAGTCTTTCCTAGTCAGAGTCAGCTGTTGTCAGTCCGAGGAGGTCTGCCTCAGGCGGCTCTGGCCAATAGCGGCTGGGTGGTTTGGATGGCCTTGCCAGCTTCTTCTTCTGGCCTGCTACTAAACTTTACTCTGTCCCTTCTTATACATGCAGAACTGGACCCAAGGCAGCGAGGTTTGAGCAATTTTAAAATTCCTTAACATACATTTTATTATTCATGTTGTAGGGAGGGACTGGGTTGGCTCCTCCTGAATAAAAGAACTAATCAAAATAAGGTTTATTTTCTAACTTCATTTGTCCCTGGGTGTGGACAACAAATGACACTAATCAGATTGACATAAACGATTTAACCTTTGTTTAGGGAGGCAAATTCAAAGCATTTACTCCCAAGTGTCATTGGTTTAGGGAAGATAGAATTTCTGCTCAGTTTCCCTATTTTATTTGTCCCAGCTTACTGGTCTATCATGCATTCAATTTTCTTAAAATGTATTCTGGCACAGGAGAAAGTTGCTTTGCTGTCCATAGGTAGCTTAACCCCTATATAACTGGGCTTGGACCTCTGCCCAGCAAACTGGATATCAGCCCCTCCTGTGAGCCAGCTGCTCTGCCTAGGGTCTCCCAGGGGCTCAGCCAGAGCGTCCCCCAGCAAATCCCGGAAGCTGCTGCCCTTTTGCAGTGGTATGGACTCAAGCAGGGGGTTCACTGGATGTAGCCGGCAGCTAAGCGCTCGCTGGCTTCTGCCTGTAGCTGCTCGCGCCAGCAAGCCCTGTCCTGCAGCACTCCCCCATCATGCTCTGCACCGTCAGCTCCAGCACCTCGGCGTTCTCCAGCTTAGCCTGCGCCTGCACCGGCGGGGGTGTCAGGTGGGGAAGGGAGGTGAGGCCAGGCTATACCCTGACCCCCATCCGCTCAATCAGCATCCCCTGGGCACCGGCCCGCAAGCCTCACCTCGGTGCCTGCCAGCAGCTGCCGCAGCTCCTGTAGGCTCTCATTGATCCGTGCACCGCTTCTTCTCCACCAGGAGCTCCGGGCCTTGCGGGCAG